TATCCTTACTACTTTGGTATTCAATTCAAGTTCCACCAAGCTGCCATTCCAGATAGCCCAGAAAGGTAGATCGAAACTATACACCTCTGGTTCACATGTTTGCTGGCATGTGCCCTTTTTTTCCAGAACCTGGAAATTTTGATGACCTGGTTTGTTCATCCGGTCCCTCCTCAAAGACTAGCACATTTGCCCAGTTTTACAAGTTCTAGCTCCATTTCATAAGTCTAGTCTTTATAGTAGCACTATTGAACATTCGGGTTATCTCTCTACTCGGGTCTTCCAAGTGGGCTTCCATCTTCCTACCTGGTTCCCTTAATTTACATAGCCTAAGGACTTATCTTGGGTTCACACTGCCTGGTACCAGTTTGTGTTCCCTCGTACAACGTTGTATGAGTGCCTTAGACCTTTCAGTCAGGCTGGTATGACACAGGTTACAGGTATCCTATCCCAACCAATCATGGAAGACAGTTAGCCGTAATACAGAAAGAATTGCAAATTTTTGTCGTCACTGGAATTTGAACTCTAGACCTGCCACTTGGGGGTTGACAACCTATTCACTTCATATATAACAAATTTTTAAATAGATAATAATTAAAATTGTATATGTAATTAGCTGTATTTTTATAAACTATAAATATACTTAAAGATATTACTAACTAATAAAACCAATTTGGTTAAAATATAAATAAATCTAATTATTCTTAATATTAAAAAAATAAAATAAAATAAGAAGTGTAATAACTTAGTAAAATTATTAAGTTGTCAACTTCTTAAGTAGTAGATTAGATGTTCAAATCATATTAATAATGAAAATTTTGAATAATCACCTATATAATATTTATATTATAACAACTGTTACTAATAATTAAATTAAAATACTTGTAATAATAATTGCAACAACATGATTGGCAAGTTATAAGGCATCTATATAACTATTTATATAGAAAAATGCAAACTAACAATTCAGATAATATAAACATTAGATAAGTTCTTATAGCTGTATAAATTTATTGAAATTGAATAAAAAAAAATTTATTTGAAAAAACTGAAATAAAGAGATAGTCAATAAAGACTAGTCTGAAGAAATAGATACTAAGATTATAGTACCTAGTTATAATATCTGAATGGACAAGAATTGCTAGATTGGAAGTCTTAAAAATACCATTAATTAAACTATCAAAATGAACTGAAAAAAAGAATATTGAGCTAATTTAATATACTAATAAACTAATTATAGTTCTATACAGACTATCTGAATTAAAAATCTGAACAAAAGACTAGACAAAAGACTAAACAAAAAACAAAGATATATTAAAATACTAAGATTATGTTGTGAAGTAGATGTTAAAATTTATATAAACTTTACAAGAATATAATGGTTAAATAATATATATAACTTTGATCACAAATGTTAGTTCTGCTATAACAATATCTAGATCAATTGTAAAAATAAATACAGAAGACTTTGAAAGGTTTATCTTAAAAATAAAATAGTTCTAAAGTTGAAACAATGATCTGAACATCTGAATATGACTTAATGAATTAATACAGATTACAAGTTCAAAAAATTTAAAGTAAAACATTTAAACAAGTATGTTAAGTATAACAATTGATAGAAAATTTTCAAACCAACTCTTTAAATAAGTAATATAGAAAAGTTATATGTATAACCAATTGTACGCTCTCCTGTAGTGGTTCATAGAATCACATTACCAAAAAATCATTAATAAACGTCAAAAGACCAAAAAGATCACCTTAATATCAAAAAAAAATAAAATCAAATAAAATCAAATAAATTTAAGTATAACAACCTGTTATGCACTTATTTATAATGACTCAATTAGCAAAACCAATAACCAAAAATTCATGTAACCCAAACATAACTCTAACTACTATTAGCTAATCTGAAGTTGTTACATGTAACGGGTTGTTACGAAAACATTTATTCTTTTTTTTATTTTTGTTACATAAAGAAGTGATCTACATGTTACACGTGATCTTAAATTTAATTAGTCTTTTGTGATCATTAACTATTATCCATCGCAGATCTGCAATCCCTACTACCAGGTTCAGGGTAACCAACAACTCACGACACTTATTCGTCGTCGCTAGACTGTAAACTTATAGGAGAACCGTAAATCTGGTTACACCTTTCTTCAAACGCAGTTATTATTAATTCATTAACTTGGCCAAAAAATACATTAGCGACTTGTGCGTGTAAGGACGATGCGAATTCAAATTCTAAAGAAAAATTTAGATTGCAATGAGTTAATGGAAACTCCTCATATGGAGTAAATGTCCACGTCGTTGTCAGATGCTTAAAAAGAGCATCAGAAGAAGCAATTGCCTAAGTGTGAGAATTTAATAAAACATAGAAAATGTACCATAAATATAAAATAAGCTCAAAGAAAAATGATGTGAAAGTGGGATACCTGTACAAGATGTGGTCTTTCGCATGTTACCTCTGAAACATATGTTTCTGAAAACCCTTGAAAACCCACGCATAGAGCAGCGGTTAGAATTTTTGTTCTTCGGTCAATGTATTGTGTCTTTAAAACTTCAGAATTTGTACAAAACGGAATAAAAAGATGATAATCATCGACATTTGAAACTACGTCATAAAGCTGTCTTTGTGTATATCTATTCTCGGAAGAACGAGATAAAATAAAAACAAGATGAATAAAAGAACAAGATGAATAGAAAAGAACAAGATGAGTAAAGAAATGAGATGAATAAAAAGAGTGAGATGAATGAAAGAACGTGATGAATCACAGAAAAATATATGATTAATAGAAGAAATCTAGGAATCTAATCTGACACAAACCCCACCACTTTATGTCCTGTATAAGATCTTCGTGATGACAATGCATCAAAATCAAAAAAGGTACGTTGTTGATGGATTAATGGAGCTGGTGGACAAAACGGTCGTGATATATTTGTTACGGGAGAAAAGAACTGTTTAAAATTTATAGAAGGTGGTGTTTTAAGGGTTGATCGAAATAAATTTGATATCTTTTTAAACATTTTTTTTTTTTTTTTACAGGTTTTAGGTTTGATTAAATTGCGATATCTCGTTAGGGTGTTCGATATACTATGTAAATCAAAACTATGTATGATATCATATAAAAATTCAATCTCAAAGATTTTTATGAACAAGGGATAGCCTTCAACCAAAAGTCATGAATCCAAATTTGAACAGATCAATATAAAGTTCCAATAAACAATGTTACAGAGCGAAATTTATATTTGGCTAAGAAAATATCAGTTGATTTAAAAATTCTCCAGGTAACAAGTGTAAGTAAAATAGGTTGGAAAAAAAAAAAATTTCCCATATATAATGTAAAAACTAACTCTGTAATTTTGTAATGATGGTAATAAAGAAGAAATTCATGCCAAGACTTTGGATAAAAAGAACCTGTGCATCTAAAAATATGTGCCAGATTTTTATATATAAAAGTACTTCTGCATCGATCGAAGAACTAATTACGGAATTATTAAAAAAAAATAATATAACCATACATAATGAATCCACCTGAATTTTTCTGGTCACATGATGATCAGCGACAAATTTAGCCAATGGGAAATCGAAATTATTTAATGCAACGTAACACGATCATCGTAATAAAAATTTTATCAATACGATCACATGGTGCATGGCTTGACCGGCTTCATACACAATAAAAAAACTGCTTTGATTAAAACATTTACCGAAAAAAGTATTATTTTGGAATTCAATGGAACACTACGACAAAATACGCCTTGTAGTTGTAGGAGATTCTGGTGTGGTAATTGTTACGCTATTGTATATTTCATAAATAAACAAGATCTGAAATCTTTTATATAACTGAAACCATAAAATAGGAACCAACCACTAATTTTCTATTTTCTTGGGTATATAGGGAAAGACTAGTTTAGTTCACATACTCTGTCATAATGAAGCATTACGACACCCAACTTGGACGATCGGCTGTTCAGTTGATGTAAAGGTAAGTAGATTTTATGTTTTCATTTTAAGAAAGTAATTTGTTGTCTTTTGAATTGATTCTATTCATTAAATATAGATGCATACACATTCTCGCAATAACAAACCATATTTTGTGGAATTCATTGACGTCGGAGGAACGTCGAAACATAAATCGTCACGGAATATGTTTTATCATCAAATTAATGGAATAATTTTGGTGCATGATGTTAGTAATCGAAAGTCTTATCATAATCTTTGGAAATGGATTGCCGAAATGATTTACTCGGAAGCTTACAAAGAGAGTGAGAGAGTAAATAATAGTGCTAATGCAAATTGGGGTACAGGAAGTGGGAGTGGGTCAGGAAGCTGGATGAGTGGGAGTGGATCAGGAAGTTGGATGAGTGGAAGTTCTATGAACTTTAACAATACAAATGGTATGTAAGCGCATCATTAGGTTAATATCATAAGTTATGAGCTAATAAATGCATTAAAAAATGAAGTGAATTATCGACATGTTTAGATTACGATTTCGAATTACAGATTGGGGAAAGACATGCGAGTGTACCAATTTTAGTAGTTGGAACTAAAGCCGATCTTGTAAAACAAGAATTGACAGGTCGTCAACGACGATATAGCATTGTTGACGAATACGGAGGTGAATGTGTTAATCTGGTATGTTGTATTTCCACTTAATTAGATTATTTAACTTGTGATGATATTACTATTTATTATTTATCATCCAAAGTGTACACTAGCGCCAACACATTTCGCACAAGATTCTATATCAGGTCAAAAGATTGATGCATTTTTCGAAAGAGTCATTGACAAAAAATTTGGAGTTACAACCGAATACTATCACAATGCGACTTCTGGAAGTTTTACAACGTCATCTTCATTTCCTGGTGGTGTTCTAACAAACCGTGAAGAACGAAGGCGTGTTGCACCTAATGCAATAGTAACATCGAACAATAATGTACAGAATGGCATATCAAGTCCAGGATTACCTGTATACACTACTAATAATACAGCTGTTAATGTAAACGTAAAATCAGGAACACCTACCAAGGATATACCTACTGTAACTAAAAAACAATCATGGAATGGATTTCGGTTTGTGTTTGTTTGTATATTATAGTCATTGATAGTTAATATATATTATCTAAATGAAAATTTTCATGACCTATTCAAGTCAACCTAGAGTTTAGAATCGGGTTATAGTAAACCGAGTCACCCGGTTCAGCCGGGTCAAAAATTTACAACTCGAACCTCTAAAAATCTATTACTATTACACAGAAACATAAAAGTTAACCCATTGTATTGGGAAATAAACACTTTTTTTATACTAAATTTATCTAAATGTTCAATCCCGCTAATCCGGATTTAAAAAAAGTTACCATACGACTATCTATTGTGTGAAATTTTGCTAAAAATTTTCCTTTGTATAAGCCTTCATTATTATGTAATACACTGTCAGTAATTCATAGCGCCGAAGGTTCGAACCTCTGTAGCTCACCCACAAGATTTTTTCCGGCACGTGATTCTAGCCAATTAGATTGAAGGATCAGGTGTAACGTGAAAATCACGTCTTTAAAAAATCGAAATTTTACCTATGAAACTGCCTTCTGCGTTCTAATAAAAAAAATTCCTCGTGAAATTTTAGTATAAGCTATGC